CCAAGTACGTTTGCATTGAATCAGTGCCCTTAGTAACACTGTGCAAGCGCTCCTTCAGTTGAAAAATATGAGTGCGTGAAAGAGAATTGTACCGTTGTTCGAGATGATTCCAGATTGCAGCAGAAGTGGGAAGAGCATGAATATGAGTCTGAACAGTGGGGGAAACAATCGCAAGGAGACAGGCCCGAATCTGAGCATCAACAATAAGCCATGATTCATACGCTGGACTTGGTTTCATAACCGGGGGTGCATCCTTGCTTGGTGCCGTAGCCTTCTCATCAAGAATAAGAGCCGGTGGTGATGGTTCAGATCCATCAACATAACTGAGTAAGCGATGAGCAAGAAGATTTGCACGAACAGTAGCAGACCAAGAGGGATAATTGGTGTCATCAAGCTTGACCGGAGTTAGGGATTGAAGATTTCGGACAAACAATTTGAGACCCGTAGGAAGATGATCCATAGGATCAGGTGATAAGACAGCCATGACTGGTCACGGCGGAAGCTGGTGCGAGGGAGAAGCAGATCGGCAACGCCGAATTTTTTTTTCTTCGGTTAACGTAGCGACGGAGTAGGTCGAGACAGATCTCTGTGCTCCGATACCATGTTGATTTATGAATTCACTCTTAAGGAATAATTGTGTACATGGATGTTTATATAGGTGAGGATCCCTACATGGACTAGGATTCACCAAATAAGTAAACTAACATAAATAACAATTCTACTATAACTAGACTTCTTTCCATATATGTCTAACACGTATGATAAATAGATACAAGGTGAGCATTTGCGTTATTGATAATTCCTGATGACATGTTACTTCCATCTTCTGAAGATCCAATAGCCACTACAGTGAATTCAACTTATCCAGACTTTCAAAAAATAGCCAATGAACTGAGCTACTTGCAGGAGCGCGCAATTTTGGCTCCTACATTGGATGTCGTCGATTTTATAAACGAATATATGACAGCGATGAATCCAAGCAGCGAGACTCGAACATACCTTAGTTCTGATAAAGTTGAGAACTCAGACTGCAGTTCAAGTTTTTTTTGGTGACCTGCACTCTCCCGAATTCTTAAATAAGATTCATGCTTCAGGTGTACCGAATCATGAATTAACTCTGAATTGAAGGTAGGCACGCCTATTATGTTGTTGAGAAATATTGACCATTCAATGAGTTTGTGTAATGGTACACGGTTGATAGTAACCCGGTTGGCTAATCACTCAATACAAGGAAAAATATTATCAGGAAGCCACATGGGTGAAGAAGTTGTTATTCCAAGACTATCATTAACACCTTCCGATACAAGAATTCCTTTCAAGTTTCAAAGAAGACAATTCCCTGTGGTTACTTCGTACGCAATGACGATTAACAAGAGCCAGGGACAATCTCTGAAACATGTTGGACTACTGTTGCGGAAACCTGTGTTTAATCATGGACAGCTCTATGTTGCAGTTTCAAGAGTAACTAATCGTAGTGGATTGAAGATTCTGATATGCAATGAAGACAATACTCACACAAAGACTACAAATAATGTAGTCTAAAAAGAAGTCTTTCGAAATTTGTAAAACATTGATGTTTTATACTTTCAAATAATATAATCTCTATATTCTATTGCATCTCATTTTTTATCATTGAAAAATGATATGAATTTAATAACATAAAAATGACTCGTGCAACGCACGTGTGTGATACTAGTTAAAGAAGTGAGCCTTTTATGGAAAAAAAATATTCACATGCAAGCCCAATAAAATGTGAGAAGACACACATTTTAAATATAGACTTTGGGACCATATAAGCATCACACTTAGAAAATTTACTTTTTTTTAAAGTACTTTTAATATACTCGTAGAAATTAATAAATATGAAAAGTTGGTAATTTATTTGTTAAAAGTTAAGATTTGTATACCATAAAAAATATTTACCAAAAGTATCATTTTTAATACGAGAATTAGTTTTAGTCTAGCATTGTTCTTCTAACTAATACTCCCTCCCAAACCTTTCTCATTTCGTTTTTCATCTGTACTAAAAAAACACTTTTTATTTCTATTAAAAAGTCACTTTTATCCCTTACTTTTTCATACCCTACCTATCACATCATATTTTTTTACTAATAATCTATCCATCAAATCCCACTTTTACCCATCACATCAAAGGATAATTTTAGAAATTCAATACCAAAATACACTTCCCTTAAATCTCTTCAAAATAAAAAAATCTCATGTTTAAAGGGACGGAGGGAGTACTATTTTTTGTATTCAAAATGATTTTTTTAAATGGTTTTTTATGATGTAAAAATTTTGAATTTTTATAAATAAACTACTATCATAAACGTTTTCATATTCATTAATTTCTATATTAAAAGTGGCTTAAAAAGAGAAAATTCTCTAAATAACATTTTATAATTGAAGATTTTTTCATATTTAGTCCATGTTTATGAAATATTAGTTTTGCATTGTTTAGATACTATTGCACGTTTAGACCTTGTTTAACAGGCACAAAAATGGAAAAAATAGACGGTGGACCAAACATCGAATAATACCTAACTAATAAATACGGTCGACATAACATTTGATAAATATTCACTAAATATGAAAAACATCACTTATAAAATACAATTTATTAGATAGTTAATCTTAAAAAAATGTATAGTGCATACTATCTTTAATTGACAAATGAGGTATTTTTTTTCAACATAGAGTTTTTATACTCCCTTCGTCCCGTGAAACATTTCCCTTTTCTTTTTTATCCGTCCCACAAAACACTTCTCATTTCTATTAAAAAGTTACTTTTACCCCTTACTTTTTCATACCCTAACTATTACATCATACCTTTTTACTAATAATCTATCCATCAAATCATACTTTTACTCATTACATCAAAGGACATTTTTGGAAATTCAATACCAAAATACACTCCTTTAAATCTCTCCTAATTAAAAAGCAAATGTCCCATGTTTCACGGGAGAGAGTATACAAACATGCATGGTCAATATGCATGACAATCAAACTTGTCACGTTTTGCACTCCATCAACCAAATTTCATCCAACCCACGCTATTCACGCAATCGACGTCACACTTCATTTTTTAAATTCTTTTTTTTGTTTTAAAGATGTGTCATTTATTTTATTGTTTTTCCAATTCCGATCCCTACTTTTGACTATAGAAAAACAAAATGTGCGCATAACTTTCAGGAGACAAACTACAAGCAAATTTCTAGCAGGTGATAGTTAATTAATTAAGTTCCATATATATATATTTATGATATGAATATGGGAATGGGCGTGTTGAGGTGGGAAGCAGCGGCGGCGGCGTTGTTGCTGACGTTAATGGCCGTCCCTAGTTTTCCGGCCACCGTGTCAGGCGCCGTGTACAAAGTCGGCGGCGCCGCTACTTGGAAGGTTGGTGGAGTTGATTATCGCCAGTGGGCTTCCAACAAGACTTTCCATGTTGGCGACACCATCAGTGCGTAATCAATCTGATCTCTTTCTTGGACCACTAAAAAAAATTTCCTCCACTTCCTTAGTCTCGAAAATATATTTTCATTTTGAGTTTTAAGAAATTTGAGAAAAGGATATTTTTGTGCTGATTTTCTAAAAATATCATTGATGTAATGGATAAAAGTAAGATGTGATGTGTAGATTATTAGTAAAAAGATATAATAATGCGAGTCAAACTGAACAAACTTTAAACTTCACAATCAATTGAGATTTTAATAAAACCAATATTGTGTTGGTACTATTACTATTATACTATCTCTGTTCCAGTGTATTTGTCCAGTTTGACTTTTTCGAATCAAACTGAACAAACTTTAAACTTCAATTACTATCAATTTGTATTGCATATTAGCATAATGAAATACAATTTTGAAAGTTTTCAATACGATAAATCCAATAAAGTCATTTTTGTGTTAAAATACATTACGGTTTTTATTTAACTGAAGCTCAAAAAATGTCCAGTTTAACTCGAAAAAATCAAACTAGAAAAATACACTGGGACGGAGGGAGTAGTTCGTAAAGTTCAATTTTTTGATTAAAAATATTTGATACCATGTGGCTGCAGAACAATATGGTACCATGTCCTACCAATGCCAATCATATCGTAGTGTTTTAGAAGTTGAAAAAAGTTGTATTATCGAAAAACTAACCAGTTTGAAACAATGTTTAAGTCTATATTTTTGTCCACTCCTAATTTTTTACTACTCCGTATTTTGTAACAATCTACAGCTTTTGAATACGATCCACATGTTCATAACGTTCTACGTGTGAGCCACGAAGACTACATTTCCTGCAACACGACGTCGCCCGTAGCCACATACGTCTCCGGCAACGACTCCATACAAATTCTGGGCCTGGGTCACTACTACTACGTTTGTGGGTTCGAAGGCCACTGCCGGGCTGGACAGAAGGTGGACATCAGAGTTCCGAAGGTTGATCAGCCCACTGAACTGTCCAACGGGCCACATGCGGAGTCTCCCCATGGCCCATCACCTTCACCCACTCACGGCCTTGCTCGACATGGGCCCCCACGTAGCAGCGACACAAGTCATTTTCCGATCCATTTGGGCCCGCTTCATTATCTCGTGTTTGTTCTGCTTGGGCTATCCATTTTTCTAATTTAGCATGACCGGATGCTTTATGAAGTTATTGATCAATTCTGTAGTCCTATGTATGGGTGGGTGATAATCCTCACCGGCCTAAATCGAATCTAAACTAACGCAGAGTAGAACTTATTTTGGGAGTTCTCTGGTATCATCTAATATGATTGAAATAAGAATATTATTAATAAGTTGAAAAATAAGTTGAACGGGATGGACCGTACCAATATACTCCCTCCGTCCCTAAATAAACTTTTCCTTTTGTTTTTTCTTTGTTCCTAAATAAACTTCTTTTTCCCTTAAAAACCCCTTTTACCCCTTACTTTTTCATACCCTACCTATCACATAATACATTTTTACTAATAATCTACACATTACATCTTACTTTTACACATCACATCAAGGGTATTTTTGAAAAGTCAACACAAAAATATCACTCCCTTAAATCCTCAAAAAGTCAAAAAGGGAAGTTTATTTAGGTACGGAAGGAGTATTACATTTCAATTCTTTTACAAATTTTAAGAGTAAATTCCGTAAAAGATTCTCTGTTATAGGTCGTTTTACATATTTAGTCCCTACATATCAAATATTACTAATTTAGTCCGCAATTATTATATCCATTACCACGAATGATCCTTTGTTAACATTTCCATTAAGAACGTGTATAAGATTGTAAATTTACACTCTTCGCTCTCCTCAATTAAGCTTCCTCCCTTCTTTCGTACTCTTTCCCAAACTCGTCGCTGAGTTTGGAGCTCTAAATAAACCCAAAACTGAAATGATCATTCATCTCTCAATTATTAGTCTTTCTGGTGGAACCTAAAATCAAAATTAATAAGTTTTATGGATGAGTTTTATCAGTTAGTCTCAAAAAATTGCAAAAAAAATAAACATTAAAACTCATCCATGAAGGTTACTGGTTTTGAATTTGGGTTCCATCAGTTAGACAAACAATTGAGAGAAGTGTGATGATTTCGATTTTGGGTTCAAAGCTTCAAATTCAGCAACGGGTTTGAGAAAGGAGTGCGAGGGGAGGGAGGAAGCTTAATTGAGGAGAGAAAGGAGTGTAAATTTACAATTTTATCCACGTTATTAACGGAAATGTTAACAAAGAACCATTCGTGGAAATGAATATAATAATTGGAGACTAAATTAGTAATATTTGATATGTAGGGAGTAAATATGTAAAATGACCTATAGGCTATAACTGGGGACCTTTTATGGAATTTACTCAAATTTTAATTTTACTTGTGTGTACTTTTTTGTTTCGGTTGGTCGTGAATTCAATTGTGGGATTTTCATTTTGAAAGGGGACGACCTTTGTGTAAACGTTTTAGTAGGTTTACAACTATTTAGAATAATATCAGGTAAATAAAGTATTTAATAAATCTTAGCAGGTATTTGTATTTAGTTTGTATTGGGCCCACGTGTAACCTAGCCCGTTATGTAATCTTGTATATATACGACTTCTATTGATCAATGAAACCAGATCAGTTTTAATCAATTCCTACATGGTATCGGAGCCAAAACCCTGGGCACGATACGTCTGATTCTCTGGTGTTGCTCCCGATCGAGTAACTAACGCCAATCGTCTCTACCGTCGGCGATCCCTGTGTGTTCGATAGTCTTGGACGGCTCTTCGTTAGGCACTGCACGGCGACCGAGAGTGTCTCGGTTTGGTCCCTTGTGCTGAGCTTTGAAGATCGGTGATGGGGTCTACCACGAAGAAAACCCGTTTGATTCATGATCCCTCGTCTGAGTATTATCTTCACCCTTTCGAAGGCCCAGGTAATGCTCTCACGAAACATGTCTTGAAAGGCGATAATTTTGATACATGGGAAAAGACTATTGTGAATGCTTTAAAGGGTTGTAGCAAGGCAGGATTTTTGTCTCCCGTTGGTGTGCCTAAACCTACAGATCCTATGAAAATTGAGGCTTGGGAAGCGAATAATTCTACAATTTGTAGCTGGATTTTTAACAGTGTTGAAGAAACAATTCAACCCAGTATTGCTTCCCATACTGTGGTTCATGAATTGTGTGCAGATTTGAAGGCGCGTTATAGCACGGTAAATGAGCGTCACATTTACCAACTCGAAAATGAGTTACAGAATCTTCGTCAGAAAGGTCAAACTATGGTCGTTTATTATAATCAATTTGTCACCATTTGGAATAAACTTTATGGCATGGAGGATCCCACTTGTGGTTGCAAGTGTGAGGCGGTGGCCCTGTTGAAGGATCGGGTGGACAAATCAAAAACTCGGAAGTTTCTATTGGGTTTGGATGATGAGCAATTTGGTAGCATCCGTGGGCAAATACTTGGGACTCAACCGTTAGTGGATCTTAACAAGGCGTTCTATTTAATCACCCAAGAAGAACGACATAAAAGTGTGGTTCGTGCTCGTGACGATCACACGGATGCCATGGCGTTTGCTACCACACGGACGACCCCTAACATGTATCAGTGCACTCATTGTGGAAAATCAGGACATACTGTTGATAGATGTTATATGATCATTGGCTTTCCCAATTTTGGCAGAGGACGTGGACGTAATTCCTTTAGTCGAGGGGGAGGTCGCGGGAACCGAGGAGGCCGGTCTGCTGCCCAGCCGGTACCCACTGCCGTAGGTACTGCCGCCGGCCAGCATGGGGGCAGCGCTGGACCTTCGGCTCATGCTGCGGCCGAGGCACCCCCGTCCCTCTCTGCGTTAGCACCTGATCAAGTTGCCTGGTTGTTTTCCATGCTAGAATCATCGCCATCAACTTCTGACAGGTTGCAAGGTACGTCCGGTATTAATTGATGTGAATGGATAATAGACAGCGGGGCTTCTCATCATATGACAGGAGTTTTCTCCAATTTTGACGGATATCAAACCCGTGCCTCTATGTACTATTAGCCTACCGGACGGAGCACGTGTCGTAGCCAACTCGTGTGGACGAGTTCGAGTGTCTCCGGCTTTGATTATCACTAATGTTCTTTATGTACTTAATCTAAAATGCAATCTTATTTCTGTGAGTTGTCTTGTCAACTCTCATAACTGTCATGTTTTCTTTAATGACCAATTTTGTGTGATACACGACCAAACTTTGAAGACACAAATTGGACGATGTGAAGTACGTGCGCAATGGAGTTTATGTCTTTCTTTCTTCCGCCTAGGCGTCCAAAGCCGAATCCATCTCTCTTTTGCATCAGCGTCTCGACCACCCATCACCTCAAGTTTTGTCTTTACCTCCTTTTAATAAAAGTGCAGTTGAAATTAAAAATTTTCAGTCCTGTGACGTTTGTTTCTTTTCAAAGCAAACTCGTTCTAGTTTTTCTTCAAGTCTTAATAAAGCTGATGCCTTGTTTGATTTAATTCACTTTGATTTATGGGGCCCATATTCTCCGTGTTTGTCTACCGGTTCTCATTATTTTCTCACAATTGTTGATGATTATTCTTGAGCTATTTGGGTTTTTCTTATTATTGAAAAAACCGAAGTTACTAGTTGTCTAAAACAGTTATTCCAAATGATTCAAACCCAATTCGGGAAAGTTATAAAGGTTGTTCGCACGGATAATGGGACTGAATTTGTGAATAAACCTTTGCGTCAATTTTACACCACCATGGGGGTCCTAGTTCAAACATCCTGCGTTAACACCCCACAACAAAATGGGTGTGTGGAACGCAAACACAGGCATATTCTTAATGTCGCCAGTTCTTTAATGTTTCAGGCTTCTTTGCCTATTGAATCTTGTGGTGAATGCGTGCGTACAACTATGTATCTTATCAATCGTACCCCCACCACTCTTCTTCAGGGCAAATCACCCTTTGAACTTCTTTCTTCAAAACCTCCAGACTTGTCTCTTTTAAGGGTATTTGGGTGTTTGTGTTATGTTCATCTCAATCCTTGTCCGCAAAATAAATTTCACCCCCGTAGTCTTAAATGTATGTTTGTGGGATATCCTACGGGAACTAAGGGTTGGCGTGTCTATGATCTTGAATCCCATCAGTTTTTCTATACCTGAGATGTTTCGTTTGACAAAACTATTTTCCCGTTTGCTTTGTCCAATAAACCACCCACGCCATCCCCACTGCCGAGCATCCGGCTGCCCACTACCCATGCGTATTTTCCCACCGCCGAACCCCTTGCCGAGCGTCCAGCTATTTCTCTTATGTCTCCGGTGTCCCTATCGTCCTCCGGGCAATCACCTCCCCATTCCGATAGCGACAGCAAGTCTGCCCCGGACATTCCGCCGTCGCCTGTTCGTCCCACCCGTGATCGGCGACCTCCTGTCAGGTTGTCCGACTACTACTGCCATACCGCCCGGACATCTACTCCTATTTCTCCTCACATTGTTTCGTCTAAGTCTTCAGGTACGCGATATCCTATCCACAATTTTGTTCATTATGAGAAATTGCATGACAGGTACTGGGGATTTCTGGCTGCTGTGACATCGTGTGAGGTCCCGACATCCTTCAAACAGGCCATGCAATATGCTAATTGGCAACAGGCTATGCAACTGGAGATCACCGCTTTGGAAAATAATCACACGTGGGAGGTCACTGATCTCCCCCCGATCGGACGGCTCTTGGGTGTCAGTGGGTTTACCGTACTAAGTTTCACTCGGATGGGACAAAGGAGCGTGATAAAGCTCGCCTGGTTGTTTTGGGAAATCATCAAGAGTTTGGTACGGATTATACAGATACTTTTGCTCCCGTAGCAAAGATGGGTACGGTACGTATTTTATTATCTGTTGTTGTTGCACGAGGTTGGGAGATTCATCAGTTAGATGTTAATAATGCATTTTTAAATGGTGATCTTATTGAGGAGGTGTATATGCGAATGCCTCCTGGTTTTTCTGTTTCCGGCAAAGTTTGTCATCTTCGGAAATCTTTATATGGCCTTCGCCAGTCTCCACGTAATTGGTTCCATAAACTCAGTACTGCACTTCGTCAGTGGGGGTTTAAAGAGGCTCATAAGAATCATACTCTGTTTATTCTTCATCATGGTCCTGATATTCTTACGGTCTTAGTCTATGGTGATGATATCTTGGTTGCCGGCAATAACCCATCTTTATGCGCTTCTTTTAAACGCTATTTAGACAAGTGTTTTCAACTCAAAGATTTGGGCCCGGTCAAATATTTTTTGGGAATTGAATGTGCTCGTTCTGCTTCGGGCATGGTACTGTGTCAACGAAAATATGCAGTGGAGATCTTACCAGAGGCCGGCCTTTTGTGCTGTAAACCGGCGGACACACCGTTACCCATGACGCATGCGCTTGGCACGTCGACCGCGGCTTCCATGCACGACCCAGCGCGGTACCGTCGTCTCGTGGGTCGTTTGATTTATCTCACCATCACTCGGCCGGATATTTGTTATTCTATCCATGTATTGTCTCAGTTTATGCAGGCTCCTACTCTGGATCACTTGAATGCCGCCATGCGTGTTCTTCGGTACATCAAGGGTCATCCGGGTCAAGGCATTTTTCTCAGTGATACTAGCAATTTACAAATCTCTGCATATTGTGATTCTGATTGGGCCAGTTGCCCAATGTCCCGTCGGACTGTTAGCGGGTATTTTATCATGTTAGGGACTTTTCGAGTATTATGGAAGACGAAGAAGCAAACCACTGTAGCCAGATCTTCTGCAGAGGCGGAGTACAGGGCAATGACAAATGCTTGTGTGGAAGTCCGTTGGATGCGAGAGATTCTTCTTGCCTTGGGTGTTCCTATTTTATATCCTCCCCGATTATATTGTGACAATCAATCAACTTTGTACATTGTAACTAATCCCGTTTTCCATGAACGAATGAAGCATGTGGATGTTGGTTGTCACACACTTCGAGAGAGTGTCCAGCGACGTGAGGTGTCGACAAGATATGTTCCTACACGATACCAGTTGGCCGATATTTTCACTAAGCCGTTGGGCAAACCTATTTTTCATTTTTTGTTGTGCAAGTTGGGCATTCAGGATCTTCATGCGCCAACTTGAGGGGGAGTGTTAGCGGGTATTTGTATTTAGTTTGTATTGGGCCCACTTGTAACCTAGCCCGTTATGTAATCTTGTATATATACGACTTCTGTTGATCACTGAAACCAGATGAGTTTTAATCAATTTCTACAATAAATATTATTTAATTGCTCCCCCCAGTTTTGAAATACAGCTTTTATTTTGCTTTACGATGACTGTATGAAGTAATTTTAAAAAAAAATTATAACTGAAAATTGGTGTAGAATTTTTAAAAAAAATTAAAAGTGTACATAGGAAGTTCTATAAAATTGTATTAAGAAAACATATACTACCTCTATCCCTAAGTACTTATCCAGTTTTGACATTTTTTGGTCAACTTTTTTCAACTTGTGACCTATAATTTAGTAAAATATATATTGTATATTGACTAGATAAAATAATATTTTGAAAATATTTAAAATAATAAATGTAATAAAACTATTGTTTCATAAATATTGAATATGATTTTTACGTAATTTGAGGTCAAAATCTAAAAATTTTGATCGAAAAAATAAAAAATGTACAAATACTCACGGACGGAAGGAGTATTTAGTTTGCCAATGTGAATAGTAAATATGAATCTAAACTTGGGATAAATGGAGTATTATTTGTTCACGGTAATTACATTATTACCCAACTTTGTAAATACAAAATGCATACTTTATTTTGCCGATTTTTTTTTATTTCTGAAACTAAATCTTGTTTCGTACGTAATGCTCTTTTTGTCCCAAAGTAACTCTTATTAACCAAAAGTTCTAGTCTAATTTTGAGTTAAATAATTTTACATGCATGGTATTTATCTAAATAATTTTAAACAATCTAAAACATTTACCTTCAAATTTATGTTTATAGTTTTATTTAATATATTTTTATCATATAAAATTTAATTTTTCTTTCCATATTTGATGAGTTTTTATTTCAAAAATTGACTAATTTAAAAAAACATCCAATTAGAAAGGATAATTTTGGGAAATTTGTATAAGTTTTGGAGCTGTTTTACAGCCGTTAATCAGAAAACTAAGCTGAGAATTAATATCATTTCAGTAATAAGTACATCTTAATGACTAATCAGGAAAAACACATAACTATTGAGTAGCATTTTTAGAATCACTTCTTTGAAAATTAGAGCTTCTTCTCTTCAACTTATTCTCCCAACTTCCTAGACTAACATTTAGGTGCACTTCCAACACCGTTTGGCCTGTCCTCTCTATGGGGCAAACGGTCTCTAAACAATCTCTGCATCTTTTCTAAGATCGTTTGGGCAATAGGTTCAGGGAGTGATGGTGTAAATTACTTGACCGGTCAAACTATACTAGACCGGGTCTAGAATAGTTCGCTTGATTTGGCAAAGTAAGAGAGGTAAAAACACGCAGATTGACCGGTAGGACTTTAGGTGGAACACGTGTAGCCCAATTTATATTATAACGGAGATTGCACGGGTGCTTTTACAAGGGAGTAGAGAGAATGAATTCGGATCCCTCTTCCTGAGGTTTACACGAGTATTTATACTAGGCTAAGGGGGACAAGACCACGTGTGCCCACGTGGGGGCACGATGCTGATGTGGTGCGAGGTGACTGGTTTCATCCTTGAGCTGCCTTGTCGCCTTGTGAGGGGGATTATTCCCTTTGTCGAGTAGTGCCTTGGATGGATTCTTCGACATCTCCAGTTGTCCTCTACTGACACGGGTCGCTACACACCAAGCCCTCGTAGATTCTCTTCTGCCGACACTTTCCAACCCTAGAAACTTAACCGGGTAATCTCCGAGGAATGTGCTCATCGAAGTCTGAGAATAAATAGGATGACAACGTAGTTTGACCGGTATACTTTTTCGTGAAGTATACTGGTCATCTTTTGGCCGATTATATATCGTTTTGCTGACGATTTAAGTCTCCCTTCCAAAACTTTCGAGATTGACCGGTCAACTAATTGGTCTTCTTCTTTGACCGGTCGTGGGTGGAATACACCCATCAATAAGCCCTCCACTTCTCGGTTATGCAATTTTGTCATAAGCGGGAAGTAAAAATCTGAAACAGGACTTCTAATTTCGAATTTCAGCTTTTCCCGCCCAAGGATTTCCAAATTTGAATTTCAAAATTTGAATCCGGACACGTGTCGCGCCTCAGCTATCCGTTCTGAACCGCTGTCAGCCCGTCTGTTCGTCTTCCCACGCGCCATCATTGCGCCGCCTGACGCGGCGCGCCCTCGAGTGGCCACGTCGTTTGATTCGGCTTCCTCCCTCCTATATAAAGGCCTCCAACCCCCTTCTCTTCTTACTTTTCGCACTTCGCCTTCCAGAGCTTTCACCGGTCAAGTTCCTTCTCTTTCGCTATCCAGCCCTCCGAGTCAAGTAAGTTCCCCCTTCCTTCTCTTTTTTCTT